TACCTGCCAAAACAAGGAGAAGAGAGGAGTTACAGTACCACCCACCTGTTTTAAAATAGCCCCCAGCGTTTCGCTAAATGTCACATCCAATGCCATATTCAACACATCAGTCTGGTTTTTAATAAAAAGACAAAGCAGAAGACTGCCTCTCATTATCTCTGTTAAGATTTTCTCACTTTTAAATGTGGAATTGAAGCCTTTCTGATTCTGCTTATATCTATATGACTTTTTTTCTGTTTGACTTCACTAAATAAAGATGGACGAGACCCTCTGAAAGCCTGAATTGCTGTTTATCTGTATAGATTTCTCAGTAATTGTGGATATTCTTATGATACTGAGCGCAGCAGGTTTTGTGGTTTTCTCTGCCAAATACTTTTGATGGAGTAATGTCAGGTCTGTTTTCCTGTGCTGTACACTGGCTACGTCAGTGCAGGCTCTTACTTTGAAATCTGAGTCTGGAATCCTTCGATCTTGGTGCGTGTGTTGGTCAGCAGCTCAAACACTTTCTCCTGGTGGACACGAAGGAAGATTTAAAATGCAGCTGGATAAATTTCACCCTAAAGATAGACTCCACATGCGATTGTTTACTAACCTGGACAGCCACTCCGAAATTGTTCCCATCCTCAATTTTAGGAATCTGGAGTTGCACCCACATTGACACCTTCCAGGAAAATAACAAGAAAAAACCCCCACTAGTATAATATACAAGACTTTTTATCACATTAATATTTTCTGCACATAAAACCCAACGCATTTCTCTCCACATAAAGTTCTGAGACTGACCGTGTTGAGCTTCTCCTTCAGTGTCTGGATCTCAGTTTTGACCTTCGGCAGGAGGCTCTCCACCTTCTCATTGGTGCAGATGGGACCACATGGAGGGCCTGGAGGACAGAGGATAGCACTCCTTCACTTAGTGAGCTGCAGATTTGCTTTTCTAATATAGAAAAAGTTCCTTATGCCCTTGCTTTCTTCCAGTTAGCTAATCCATGTGTAAACGGTGTTTAAACTTTGTGTCGTCAGCTCATGAGCCACAGTAGACTCATCAGTTTGTTACAAAGGAGCCAGAAAAGCAGTGATGTGTTTCATACATGGGTTTGGAGCCTTTCTTCCTGCAGTATTTATTGTCCTTATTTACAGGAATACGGTTACTGCTAAACGAATGCATCTTTCTTTCCATTTTCCCCCATTTACCTGCGTCTTCATCCTCTTTATCACTGTCCTTGTCTTTCTTCCCCTCCTTAGCCTCCTTCTGTAAAATAAGAATAGAAGGCATCGGGTCAGAGTTTTTGCTGATGATTAATCTCCAAGACAGCTAGGCTGCACGCCTTTTTCTTTTCTGGCTTTTCAACCTTGGGATCTCTGTTGGATTCTTTTTCTTTGCTTAAGACATGTAACCCAGTTGCAGCAATCTATGCCCCTTGATATTCTAAGGAGACTCCAGCAGCTCCCGAAAGTTGTGCAACCACCCCAAATATTCTCCTAACCCTCGTTAAAAAAAACCCAGTGGCATTAGCTACACGGCTCTCTGCCCTCCTCTAAATCCCTGCATGAGTATTAGTTCAAGACACACAGCCTTTGTATGGTTTATAAAAATCTGAAATTCACAGCCGACTGAAGTAACATAAAAGACCCGCTCGCTGCCAGTTTGTAAAACAGCCCTTGTAAATTGCACTGTGATTGGTTGTCATGGTAACTGGGGACTCAGCATTGTGTCTTTATATAATGAAACACTAAATATAAACCCTGAGCCGAGGACCCCAGTTGAGAGGAGGCTCTATGAAGAAATTCAAAGGTTAGACAAATAAAACACAGATGTGAGGCTCCTCGATATGAAAGCCATTACATCTGGGTAATGGAAAAACAGCCGTCCTTCATAAATCACCCCGAATGCTCCTTTATTGGATTTATATCACAGTTTTAAAGAACAGTCTTCTGGGATGGAGTCCCCACCTGCTCTTTTTTCTTGCGCTTGGCCTCCTCTTTCGCCGGATCGGGTATCGG